GTTTGAGAAAAGGGGGAGTTTTTTGTCAAAATTTTGTTTGGAACGAATTTTCCGGTGATGTACCGGAAAGAGTTTTTAAAACTCACTTTTTATTAAATACTTTTAAATAAATCTGCTTTTTATTAGGTAAATTTAACTTTTACTTTACTTTAATATGTAAAACTGCTTTTTACTAGATAAACTTCGCCTTTTCTTTACTTTATTCATAAAATCCACTTTTCTCTGGGTAAAACTTGTACGAAAATTTGAAGCATATGATTTGATTAACAGTTAGATAATCTCTAAATCTACTTTTTTCACCTTCTCTAAATCTCTAAATACCTTTCTAATTTCTGATTCAAATCGAATATATACTAGACTTCCATATGTATACTTATTGGTCATGTCCTATATGCATACCGAAACTTTTTCATATATATTATTGGTCACTTTTTAATAACTCAATATACAAATTTCGATCATATTATATACGAAAATACACAAATTCTGGTTACTTTATTAAATGTGCATAAATTTGCAAAGCTAAGTATTGTTTATAATTTTTAAAAAAATGATTAAAAAAGTACAACTTAAAGAAATTAATTAATCTTTAAATTGATTTTTATGTTATAATCTTGAGGTGAAACTTCTGGAGGAAGATTAATAATGATGCTATTTTTAATATTTGTTAAAGGCTTTCTTTTTTTGACATATTTATCAAGTATTGGAAAATCTGGACAATAAGATAGCTTAAAAGGTGTCATAATAGATGCAGAATATGTATTAGTTCTAATATGAGGCTTTAGCTTTGAAATTCTTGTCATTTTTTTTTCTTTATATCAGATAATTGGGTTTTTTGAATTTCTAAGCTGGATAATTGAGTTTCTTGAATTTCATAACCTGGTGATTCCTGAATTTCAATATTTTGTAGTTGAGTTTCTTGAATTTCATTATTTTGTAACTGTGTATTTTGAATTTCAATATTTGACAGCTTGGTTAATAAAATATCTAAATCTACAAATTATTAACCTTAATTTTTTCGTAAATATGAAAAAATTAAAATTCTAGTAAACTTTCTTCAAGCATAATTCCATATTCGTTGCTATACTCATATTCATCCAGGTCCAAATCTTCAAATGAAATCAGAATAAGCATTGCAGCATTTGTAATGCATTGATTATTACTAATTTTACAGTATTCGGATAAACTTTCTTAAGAGCAATGTAAAGTTTCGGGCGAAATTGTTTTTCAAATTCCGAAATATTTCGGATTTTGTAAGTGGTCCGAAATAAAAATCCGAA